TTGTTAGTTTAGTGGTTAGATAGGTTATTTATAGATAGATATTCGTCACCCATTATTTCCCACCTTTACAACGTACGCAAAATCATTCCTGCATTCCTAATAAAAATCGTCAAAAACAATGCTGAACTTTGCAAATAATCAACTAACCTTTAAGGCAGCTTCTTCAATGTAATTTGCTAGCGATCGAGATATTCTCGGTTGTTTAAAGTGAACCTTATAATGATTTTGCAAAATTCATAATGCAAAGTGCAATTATTACTGTGCAACGTTCTATAACATATTTTGTTACATAAATTTTGTGGATTATTAATACTAGCCTTAAGTGGGAATAAACTGCAGCACAAAAATAGGAGTACAGTACCCTTTATATACTTAAAATAATGTTAATCATTATTGCTATCGTGTTTAACTCAATATAATCCTCCAGTGCATCACACTTCAATTTGGTTAAATAGTCTCTTAAATAAAACTACTTATTTGACAAACAACTAATCCAAAAAAAAAAGGAATCGTACTTAATAATACAAAATGACATTTAAAAAAAATAACTCCAACATGTTGACCGTTCTAAAAGTTAAAAACAACAAATGGATTTTTTATACATTAATATTTATTCTCATTTTATTCATTGGTTCTTCACTTTTCAAAAATTCAGATGATTTTATTAAACCAAAATATTTAGTTCCATTTGCAAATGAACTTAGTGCTAAGCCTACTAACCTTAAAGAATGGAAAAGAAGGCATTATTTAATAAACTATTTAAATAATGAACAGAATTTATTAATTTATGTAGCGCCGAAAGACAGTTATAGAAGTGATGACTCGATAAAACTTAAATACAAGTTTGATAAAACTTTAGCAAAGTGTGAAGTACCATGTATCTGGAACGAAACACGCATAGAAGATTTAACAGCTGAAGAACTTAAAACTGCTGATGCCGTCTTTTATGTTAACCAAGAAGTTCCACTAAAGTCAAAAGCATGGAGAGGACAGAAACTCATACAATATACTTTAGAGTCTGCAACACAATATCCACAGTACCACGATAAGAATAAATATTTCGATATTCATGTGACATTTGATGAAGATTCAGATGTATCTACAAGTTTTATTAAAGATCCAGAAAAATGGCGAACTAAACAACCCTTTGACATGGAAAAACTCTCTCCAAGCTCTCCACCAATTTCTTTAATTGCTTCTCAGTGGACCAAATTCCGTGAAGTTTGGATTCAAACTCTCAAAGATCATATTCCTATTGCATCTTTTGGTAGTGTCTACTGGACTGCTAATTGGGATATTCATCCGGAATGCGCAAATTTAGAACCATATGAAATAAAAAATTGTATTATCTCTAAATACCCTTTTCATCTATCCATTGAGATATCGCAAGAAAAAGATTACTCTACTGAAATACTTTGGGATGCATATAACTCTGGATCCGTACCTATTATATGGGGTGCACCTAATAGTCGTTCGTACCTACCACATCCTAAATCTGCCATTTTTATTGATGATTTTTCTGATGTTAAGGCACTTGTTGATCATTTAAAGTATTTAATAGAAAACAAAACGGCTTATTTAGAATATCATGAATGGAGAACTTCGAAAGAATGGTCAGAAAGATTTGAGAGAAAAGTATATATGAACATAGAAAATATGGAATGTAATGTTTGTAAAGAGGTTGCTAGGTTAAGAATTTTAGAAGGAAGGGCCAACCTTCCACAGTTTCGAGTTGATTTAGAGAATAACGTTAATAATATTTAGTACGTTAGTTTATTCTTTCTTCAGAACTTAAATTTTTAATAGTATTATCTAAATAGATTCTTATCTTTATATAATAACTAAAAAATAATTATATTTTACAAGCTACAATATGTAATATTTTATTAGTTATGTTTTTTATCTTATAATATTCTAGTTTTATTGAAAAACTTCCATTAAAATTAAATTTGCTTTTTTTTCAAATTTATTAGAAGAGAGTACCGTAATTTTGATGATTTTTTGATTTAGCTAATTAAAATACAATACTGTACTTTCTAAATCAACTATAAATCTATCAAGTTTTTAAATTTACAACCAATTTCGACATTTAACATATTATACTGTTACGGCCAGTGTTGGAAATCATATGTTCACGGTATTCAAAGAGCATAAATTTTTTAAAAAAATCAAAATTTTTATGTTTTATGTTCACATTTGTGAACATAAATAACCTTTTGTCTAACAAATAAAATTTTATTTGTGGCCATTATTTTTCTTTTAACGTGAACATAATAAAAAACAATGTCGTCATATTGTCTTTTGAATTTCCAACACTGGTTACGACCGACGAGGAGAGCATTGCACATACATTCATAGATTAGCTCCACTTATATTCTATCATGTTTGGTAACATTTTTAAGGAATATATTTTAAAGCAAAAAGAAAAATAAAACAGTATTATTAAGATTACATTTTTTATATCATTAAGATGCCTACATTAATGGATATTACATACTTCTCATTTACCCGATAAATATACAAGTCTCGATCTATTATTGGCTTTCTTCAAGCATCCTTACACTGCACACGCCTTACGCGATAAATAAATTCGCGGAAAATAACGTAGCCCTACACTACATATAATAACTCAACGTGATAAACTCAAATAACTTATCCTTATGATTTATTTTTTTGAAAATTTAAAATATTTAAAGAAACTTTTTTTTTGATAATATTTGAAATAAGGATTGTATTATAGATAATTTGGGGCTGGTGTTAATACCCCCAATAAAATAAAATTTTTTAAAAATTATAGCAAAGATATCTCGACAATAATCTTAATAAATTTGATGAACTTTATTCATTTGAATTTATGAATCCATAGAATTCAATTTAAAAAAAATTTATTAAATTCGATCGGGTGGTTGTCAAGATATCTTCACTCAAAGTTTAAAAATATTTGGCGCAACATTTATTTTTGATTTTTCTTTAACATTCAGCAAAGATATCTCGATAACTACCTGGCCAAATTTCTATGAAATTTTTTTTATATGAATTCTACAAATCTGTAGATTTCAAGTAAAAACGTTTCGATCACTTGGTTGTTGAGATATCTTCACTTAAAAAAAAGTTAGACGTAGCTTTTATTTTGATAGGCGTTTTGATTTTTCTCTAACTTTGAGCGAAGATATCACAATAACCACCTGACTAAATTTGATAAAAAATTTTTTATTTGAATTATATAAATCTTTAGAATTTAAATAAAAAAGTTTCATCTAATTTGGTCAAGTGATTGTTGAGATATCTTCACCCAAATTTAGAAAAAAATCAAACCGCCTATCAAAATATTAACCATAGCTGCCACGATTTTGATTGGCTGACGGCCAAGGATCTTCAAAATTTTGGCCCATATTACATAATTGTTTACTAATTTCTAGCTATAATTAACTTTTTCACTTAATAGGCAGCTGTAATTTTATTAGTAAAATTATGAGTAATTATAGTTTAATTTTTTGATTATTACTCCTTGCTAATGCTTGGCACAATCAAACAAAAATTTGACAGTCAAATACTTGTTAATACTTATGTTTAAATTGGATGTCAAACGATTGCAGATTAATCAAAGCTAAATATACACTATTGATTAATCTGCAATCATTTGATATCTGACTTAATTACAAGTATTAACAAGTATTTGACTATCAAATTTTTGTTTAATTGTGCCAAGCACTACTCCTTACTATATAAAAATATATTGGTTTAGTCTGATTGATCTTTATAAAAACTAGTTATATATATAATTATAGTCTAGTTTTGGTTTAGTTTTGGTCTCAAAACAATTTCATAATAACATATAATTAATAGATTTTATATATAGTAAATTTATTTTTTGTACTAAAATTCTTTTTTAATTTTATTAAAAATATTATTACAGTAATATTTAATATTTAAATCTTAATACAGTTAGATCTCTTTATAGTCACCTCCTATATAAGCACATTTCCTTTATAAGCATATTTTTTAAAAAACAAACTATTATTAAATATAATAAATTTGACCTCTATAACTGTCACACTTCTCTACAATCACACATTTTTGT